AAAGACAAATTGATGCAAAGGAGGATTGAAGTGTCTCCATATCTGTATTTTGCCTTAAATTGGTTTTGATGCCAGCAGAGTGAGAAAATGCCAGAGGCTCTGGGTGGGTGCCCCATCGTAAATGCACCAAACAATTCCTAAAGATTTTCCAAAACGCTACTCTGTCGATAAATTGCAACACTTTGAATTAGCACCAAAGCTTTAAGAGCTCTCCAGCTGTCACCTGGAGACTGGCAACAGCTTGTTTGGAGGGTGGGGAGTATGGCATTGTACCTGTCTGAGGTCCCCCTTTTCCTCCTCCTCCTCTGACCCCACCCTCAGCAGGCTTCATCCCTAAAATATCCTGGAAGTTTCCAACCTGGAGTTGGCAACCCTATGTCCTTTCCAGGCAACCATCAGCCTACCGTTATCTGCCTGTCTGTCTTCAGGTTTACATCCCCCCCCCCGCCTCTCAGCCTCAGAAAGGGCAGTCTTTCCCTGCAGTGGGAACCCGCGGGGTGTTAGTGCTTGCACGCCCGCGGGGAAAATTTAGAAATGTGCCAAGAAACAGCGTTTTGACGTTCCATAGCGGGCCGAATTAACTCTAATGTTAACTCTAACGAACCTCTGGGCTCCCGGAATGTGGGGAAAGTTGTAAAATCTCCCTTACCAGCACGACTGAATTCAACAACGAAGCCTCCCTGGGCCGGCCTGCAGAGCGCGGTTTCCGTGCAACAGGTCCCCGGGCTGGCGCGGAGACGCGGCCGGCGGCGGTGCCCCTGGGGCGGCGGCTGGAGCCGTGGCTTGCCAGGTGTGAGCCCCGAACGGCGAGATCTTGGGCCGACGCGGAGACGCGACCAGCGGAGGTGCGACAGGCGGCGGCAGAGTTCCTGGGCGGTCCCAGGCCCGAGGCAGTGGAGGGAGACGCCTTAGGACTGCCGGGAGTGTAGCGCGGCTGGCGCAGTGACTGGCGGCGTCAGCAGCAGTGAGCCTGCGGTGAGGAGGAGCGAGGCCGCTGGTGGAGTCTTCCGGGGTAGCTTCTCCCCTCCCCCTCCCCCGAGGCCCCTTGGCTGGTCGATGGTCGACGGGGAACCGTCGCCGCTTCGGGCGCAGTCGAGTGAGGTGGACGGGGTAGAGCGATCCGTAGAGCCCCTTGGGAGGACGGGGGATGAAGCCAGGTCCACGGTTTTGTGGTGGTGGAGTGGCCCTGTGAGAGAGGGCGAAGACCGGTGGAGTGGCCCTGTGAGAGAGGGCGAAGACCGAAGGAGTCCCCTACTGTTTTGTGGTGCGGAGTGGCCCTGTGAGAGAGGGCGAAGACCGAAGGAGTCCCCTACTGTTTTGTGGTGGTGGAGTGGTCCTGTGAGAGAGGACGAAGACCGAAGGAGTCCCCTACTGTTTTGTGTAGGGGGCCTGCCCAGAGTGCCGGTGCGTGGAGCGCCTGGAACGTTTAAGGCCCATAAGATCTGGGGTCCAAGGAGGGAAGTGGGGTTGTTGCTGGAAGTCAATTGGATTGGGTCCAATAGTAGTTCCTGTTGTGCTGTGTGGATGTAAGGAATGTGAATGGATGCTTGGACTCTAGTGTCAGTAGTTAAAGGAAGGCGATTGTTTGTTATTGCCAGGTTTTAGAGATGAATTATGATAGGTTGAATCGTTAATACTGTTTAGTGTTTTAATTGTTAGCAACGAATTGTGATTAAATTGCTTTATTGTAATAGCTAACAATCATTCTGTGAATGAAGTTGTAATAGGAAATAATATAGCTTACTACCCTTCTATGAATGGGTAGGATATTGTATATGGTAGCAACGGTCCCTAGAAGAGTAACTTAGGAGAGGTTGAGGATTGGACCTGGTAGGGTTAGAGTAGGGTCGATATACTGTACATTAGAGAACCATTGGGTTATTTTTTGTACTGCAGGGAATTAGAGAGTGATAGAGTAAAGAGAGTGATAGAGTAAGGACCTATTTGATTAAACGTGATTCGATCTAACGCTGTTGGAATCCGTCTGTTTGGTGGAATTGTCCAGTGTAGCCTATATTAGAAGTAGTGGCTACGGTATTGACCAGCGGATACAGCTATGCCGGCGCAACAGGTTCCGGTGCTCTTGGGGAGGGGAAAGTATAGCGGTGGGTCTAGGCAGAACATCAAGGGAAGGGCCCTGAGAAATAGAATGGCTCGGTGCCCTTCCAGCCTACGACCCATCCCAAGGGAGGTCAGCAGTGGGGCTAGGATGATGAACCCCTCTCCGTCATTGGTGTATTGTAACGCCAGGTCCTTCGGGACTTCGTCGTGGAACAACAAGCGGACCTGGCGTGCATGACTGAGACCTGGGTGCGGGATGGGGAGACTGTTGCTCTCTCCCAACTTGCCCCGCCTGGGTTCTTAGTCGTACACCAATCACGGACTAAGGGGCTGGGGGGAGGAGTGGCGTTGTTCGTTCGGGAGGCTTACTCCTTCAGGGCCCTCCCCTCGCCGGAGATCGCGGGTATGGAGTGTGCCGGCCTGGTGCTGGAGACCGAGGAGAACTTGGCTATCTGACTAGTGTACCAACCGCCTAACGCACCGGCCAGTGGCCTGCCGTCCCTGCTGGAGGCCGTGTCTGGCTGGGCGTTGGAGCACCCGAGGCTTCTGGTCTTGGGTGATTTCAACGTCCATGCTGATGACGCGGCCTCTGGCCGGGCTACGGACCTAGTGTCATCCATGGAGGCACTGGGGCTCTCCCAATGTGTATCGGTCCCCACGCACCAGGCCGGGCACACGCTCGACCTGATCTTTGCTGCGGGGATTACAGTGGACCGGATTACTGCTATGGCAGTACCATGGTCGGACCACTACTCCCTGAAGGCTCGTCTGAACATCCCACCCCGACCCTGTTTAGGCGGCGAGCAGATTTTAGCTTGCCCACGGAGCCAAATGGACCATGTACGGCTTCAGCTGGCTC